AAAAACAGTTTTATTGGCACATTATTCACAGGTCACACAATTCAATAGTTCAGTAATATTAAGAAGCAATCATTGCTACAATCAATTTTAGAAAATTTTCTTCTTTCTCATACTCACTGCTACTAGCTCCCCATTTCCCCCCAACTTCTTCTGCCATAACCCCAAGAAACCACTAGATTTACCTGTCCTGGATTTTGTGTACAGAAAAACATACCCCAAACAAACCAAATGACAGCTAACAACAATAATGAAGCCAAACAGAGAAAAAGCTCAATAGAAAAGAAAGCAGACAATATTGAAAACTAGACCAAATTAAAAATAGGTCAAAGGGGCTAGAAATGATGAGATGCTAATTTTAACCTAAGTGCATATGCAGTAATCTACTTTTCAAACACTCTGCACGATACCAAGGGTATTTCCACCCCTGGAGAAGGTCATCATGGGCTGGTGGAAAGAGGGAGAATCTCAGTGAGGTGGTGGGCAGTGTCTGCAACAGGGGTGCAGACTGAGAGAGTGGGGCGAGCATGGCACATTGCAGGGCAGCGTTTTGTTCTATTGAACATGAGCTGGAGTCAACTGTATAGTTTCTAAAAAGAACAATGGGGGTTGGTTCCATAGCTTCAAAATACGAGCGAATTTAGATAAAATTGGAAGTTTAAATTGTCTGTTGATAGGATGTTCATAACCTGATGACTGCCCATATTGAAAATGATTGATGCCTTACTTTTCAATAATAAGAAGGTATATGGGAGGTGCAATACTTCAAAAGTGTTATGAGAAATAACTGTCCACCTAAACTTGTGCATTCAAGAAAGCTACCTTTCTTAGAACTGGGGCAAAAGTAAATATGCCCATAATCAAGAAAAAATAAAGTTTAAAGGACTTCACACAAAGAACTTTTAGAGCATGGAACTCAGGAAGGAGGAAAAAATGCTATAAAAACCTTAGTTCCTTATTAAGTACACCAACCCACTGCCATCGAGTCAATCCAACCCACAGTGACCCTTAAAGGCTTTCTGGGACTATTGTATTAAGAATTACCTTATCTTATAATAAAAAAATAATTTACTTAAAAATTAGCAAATACCTGCATTAGTAGAAAGTGCAATGAAAAAATATAAATTAATTTGGTTGTATTATGTACAAGCATACTGAGGTACTTTATCGTGCCAACCTGTCCGATAAACACATGTGGGGGTTAATTGAAGGGTAGAGAGATAAATGGCTTGGTGAGCCTTGCCTTTCTAGTTCTTGGGTCTCTTGCTTTGTGATGGTC